TTAAGTGTAGCTGCAAAAGTGCCAGAAAGCATAAAAGTGTAAATTATATTTAATATGGATTAGGCATGTGTATGAAGCAAGTCTTTTAATACACTAATTGGCTCAGGATCTTAACTATGACATGTTTTGTCGGTTAATGCAACTAATTCCTGATGACTGTGTGGAAGGTTTCAAAGATAGCCTTATTGCTACAAGGCACTTAGGGACAAGGTAGCATTTCTCATACTGGGTACAGTACTGTTTGATTTCTAATGCTAGCATTATTTTCCTTTAAAAAAACTTAAGTAATTGTTTCTAATATTAGAAGGTAGTTATAGTTATAAAAGCGGAGATTATTGTTTTTCAAATCTAACAGGTTTGAGTAATAGGCTGAGGAAGCTGAAAATAACACTTCATGATACTATCACTCCAAGCAATTTTTAAGACTTGCAACTTGGTTGTAAAATTATAAAATGGTTACTCTCCATTTTCTTTCTATGACTTTCTAATGTGGCATTATCTAACGTCTATGTGATAACAATTTTGTTAACAGAGGTGCTTGAGAAAAGAGCAGTTAATGTGGTCTTAAATATTTTACTCTATTACAATTACTGAATGCAATATTAACCTTTCTAAAGCTGTCTTCATACAATGTTCTGGAAAAAAAATTACATTGACTATCATTACCTACTTGGAGAGTAGTACAGTCAAATAAAATGGTAGATAAGCGAAATATGATTAACTGCTGCTAGACTAACTTGTAAAAATACATTTCATGTGGGTGAAATACAAAGTAGAAAAAAGTTTGTAAAGCTGATAGTATGTATCTTACCAGGTTGCTATAGATTTACTGCTTTATATCGATAAACTGTAAACAAGATATAGAACGTTTACTGCTTTATTACAATGCTGCAGTTAGAGCATTTTCTCCATAACATACATTAGGCCATTGCTAATTTCACTGTGTCAATTCCCTGTGAAATCATTCTTTAAGAGGAATTTTTAACTTTGATTTTAAAGCCTTGCGTTTTTTAAATGTCTCTCCATTTCTCTGAGTTCTGTTTCTAGATGCCACACATCCCTCCCTAAAATCTGGTAAACCTGGCCATCTCCATCATTCAACACAAAATACTAGGAGCTTACCCCAGGGATGGTTGAGCTAAAATGAAACGTCTCTCTTTAAACAGTTCTATTTACATTATTTTTAAATTGTACTTGTTTCTTTTCCTTTGCTTTTAGTATAATTTATTGCATTTTTGTGTTTTATATGTGATAAAATGTCTGTGATGTTTTTTTATGTCTGCAAGTGTTAAGGTTGAATTGTGCTTTCTAGAATAAATGGCAGATGTTAATGACAACACTGATTTTGCTGTGTTGTCAGAAGGCTGTAATCCAGCATTGCATATACATGTTGCCTGGGAGAAACTATATCCCCTGTGAGACATGCTACAATACCTTTTCTTTTGGAGGTGTGGAGTTGTGTGATTAAGTCTACTTAAAGCCCAGAGACTGAATTGCTTTATAATTTTATATGCGCTGCAGCTTGTCAGCATAATTTGTGTAAAATTACATGCTGTGAAGTCAGTTGTGGTTTAGCTGTTAGGTAATTGATAGTACATTTCATATCATGAAGGTTTCTACTGTGACAATGTGATAAATATTTTGTTCTACATATACTTTTTAGCACAGTAAGGTCTTGGGCTGAGAGCGTTAATAGCCATGGCACTCCATGGATACATCATGAACCGTCTTCAGGGTCTTCTGCTGCTCAGCATATCATAATCTGGTTGTACAAACAGACATAATTTATTCACCGCTAATTTGAAATGTACATAGCAGTGCAAACTCATTGTCATGCTATAGCTCTAGTTCATGCTACACAGATTTAATACCACTAAAATGATTCTTGACATTAGGTTTTGATATTGTATGTTTGGAATTGCACTTTCTATGTGTTTTACATGTGATAGAATGTCTGTTGTGAAACAATTATTTTATTTTGTGAATATATTGATTAAACAATTATAAAGTAGATATTTGTCATACACTGTAGTAAATGATGCAGAGTTGTGGCATGGTAAAATAAAGGCAAAAGTAATTTAGCCAATACCTTTTTTTAACATTTCTTGATAACTTTTCTGTATCTGATCTTGTTAGGGCCCATTTGTTATTGTAAAGTATATTATATTATCTGTTTAACTGTGTGAAAATATCGAGCTAATTGTGGATGTTTCTAGGCATTTTTAATTAACATTTTTTTCTCCTTAGTATGTGTAGGTGGTTGGTGATATATATTGCATTTAAGTGAAGTATTAGAAAACATAAAAAATAACATTTTAATTGCATTTGCAAGATTCATCTCGAAAATAAATGTGGTATTGGATTAACAAAATTAAAGGAAAAATAACATTTTACTAAAACTTTAATGTAAAAAACTCCAAAAAGTAAAAAGAGGAGTGGTATTCATACTTTGAGATTTAGATCTTTACTTGAGTGTTGAAATGTACCTTAAACAAATCTGTGGTTTATGTTCTGTACTCGTTTCCAGATCAGGTGGACCTACGGTGATTGCTGGGAAGATTCTCAGGCAACATTAATTATTATTAAACTGTAATAATTGCTTACACTTATATAGTGCTTTTCTGGACACTCCACTCAAAGCACTTTTTACAGGTAATGGGGACATAAGTTTGATAATTGTACATTTTTCCCCTTTAAATGTTACTAGACTGGTGCTATACACAGCACATAAAAGCCTTTCACGTAGATTTGCTCTTTTGTATTTTCTAAGTGAAAAGAAGTTAACACAATCTCTGCAGCGAAAAACTTAAACTTGACATATTTCTGCACATTTTGATGCATAGTTACTCTTTATTTGCTGAATTTAACAGATTGAAAAAATAAAACTGTAAATGTGGCATGTGCAAACGTTTTGGCACCCTATCAGTCAATACTTAGTAACATCGCCTTTGGCAGAAATCACATGTTTCTTGTAGCCAGCTAACAGTCTTTCTGCATTAGGAGTTTTTTACTAATATGGGGATATGGGGGGATTTGCTTTGCATTCCTGACCAGTCTATGAGCAGTTCTTTGGGAGGTTTTTCTTGGTCTTCCAGAACGTTTGTATACAACTGTACATCTAGGACCAGGGCAGTTGAAAACCACTGGCATAGATGGTATTGATGTTATTTAAATCAAGATGTTGTACCTAGCCAGTTAAGATCAGATTCTTGATGTCTTTTTAAGGTCTATTCTTACTTTTAAATCTATATTTTTTTTCTCACTTTTAAATCTGGTTGCTATAGGATCCTTTTTTAGATTTCAGTTTGCAACGAATTGGAATGACTGCGTAGGCAATGTTTTTTTTTTGTTATTTTTAATTTAATCTTATACCAACATTACTTGAGAACAACTTGGCAGTTGTTACTTCATTCATTTCTTTTTGTCGGCACATTCATTTCTTTTTCTCGGCACACATCATTGCACTGCATTAACTGGAAAAGAAGGATAGAGGGTAAAGAAGCTTTTCAGACCTGTCCATCCATCAGTACTTTCTTCTTTTGACACATTACAGGCTCCACAAGGACTTACAGAAGTGCTGACTGGAGGATTAGCCTGTCCCTCACAGAAATGTCTGCCAGGTTGCTGGAGCCTGAGAACCAGCCCTATCCTTAGGGGCTTTCTGTCAGTTGTGTACTGCCACTTGGCGATTCCTGGTCACTGTTTGCTTGTGATGTGTCCGGGCTCAAATTTGGAGTTGAGCTTCTTGAGAGCACCTGTTATCTTGCTTATTTTAATCAGTATTTTTCTCTTTATGTTGTTCAGTAATTTTTGTTAGGGTTTTGTATTGTGTTAGATAGCTCTAAATCAAGGGACCTATGGGCCATGACCTAAAAATTGGTCGCCATGTCATTTAGGGCATGTTGTAACATGGAACTCTTGAAATTAAATTTCCTCCTAAACAAGCACATTTTTATGAAAGCCTTTTAATGCCACAGTGAAAAAAACTATGATTGAGTTATTAGGAGATAACATTGCATTATTTTTCAACAATTATTACTGAAAAACCTATAAAAATTCAACAAATAATGTTGTGAAAGTTTGATTAAAATAGTAATCAATTAGGAACCAGAATACCATCTTCATAAAATAAAAAAAAATAACTTAACACTCCCTTTTGTGGGAAATCAGTATAAAGGAAAATGTTTAATATGTCTGTTTTAGATGTTAAGTATAACTTTAAATCAAGCATTCCTGGGTTAAACACGTGTAACATTAACATATATTCCTAGAGTGTAATCTGAGAAGGAGGACAAACTGGTGTATCATTTCACATGGTCATAAAATCCCAAGATCAAACCACCCTTATGGTTACAGGTAAATTTAAAGTGGCTTACTTATTAAATTTGAAAATTTTATTTTTTTTTGTGAAACAGACAAGTGAAGTTGGCGTGGACATGGCTCATTTATCATGGTGCTTTTATCCATAAGTTATCTTGTTAAAACAGTAATTATTGCAATTAATGCAATAAATTAATGGGGCTGAGAAAGTTTTTTCATTATTATCCTTTTCTACATTATTTCACTTTTCTACTTGGGAGAAGCAGGTTTTTCTAGCACTGTCCATCACAAAAATTGATTAAGCCAACTCCAATCAGACCAGGACTCAAGAAGCCTCCTTTAAATTACACAACCATGGTTTGAGACACTTTCAAAGCTTGTGCAAAGTCAAGGTTCACATTAGTATACCATTGCTGTTTTTCTAATATTTGTGCTTTTGCAAGACTATTGAATACTACTAATAAACTGATTATTAATCATTTTTAATAGTATTTTGTATAAGTACCCTGCTCAGAATGAATGAATATAGTTTAATGTGTTAGAGTTTTCTAGAGATGATTAGATTATTTGTAATGCTTTACTGATTGCAGTTTAGAGGACAGCATGCGTAAAAGACCCTGCATTTGATTCTTTAGAAAAGCCTTACAAGTTTTTATTTCATTGTGTTTTCCTCTAAACAGGTAATCTTCCAATGCCAACAATTGCAGCAATTGATGGTGCTGCTCTAGGGGGCGGACTGGAAATGGCTCTTGCTTGTGACATCAGAATAGCTGGTAAGAATATTTGCATTGTCCTAGTTATGTTTTGTAGTCATAAGCCTGGTGGTGCTATGGTCTGCTTCTTGATACATTGCATGACATTTCTTTCTGAAGATTTTTCATTTATATGGAAGTGCATTGGTAAATCTCATTGATGAAATTTGATCATTTTACTTGTTTTTTTAATGATGGCTTTTTAGTATGAATGATACTGTAGGTGCAATGTAGAGTACATTTTTGTGTAATTCTATGGCTATCTTTGATCTTATTAAAACAAAAACATTGTTTTCAACCCACTGATTTCAAGTTGCCACAAATATTGCAATGCATTCACTTTAAGTTCAGAGTGTAAGGTCAGCATTCGTTTGCGTATACCTTTGAGGTAAAGCAGTAGTTCTGAAACTTTTTGGACCAAGTATCACCCCCGATCAAACCAACGCATCCAAGTACCACCTACAAGTCATCTTCTCATAGGAACCCCAGAAAATCTCAATGACCAACATGAGTGCTCGTGTGTGCACACACTCACATACACGTATAATACATATTATAATAATAAAATGTATTGGATATAGCGCCTTTAAAGGTGGCTTCTCAAAGCGCTTTACAGAATGACAAAAGGAACAACAACAGTTAAAATAAACAATTAAAAAACACCCTTTCAGTGAGAGGGGTGAGCCTGTTTAGTCGAGCAAAGCAGATGTGAATTCATTGGTCGAGCCTTGATACAATTCACAACAGAGTCTAACAGATTTTAAATCGTCAGGCATTTTCTTGACGGCCAAGGCCTCATGGTGGATGCTGCAGTTCATATCTGGAGCCACCTCTCTAATTCATGCAACTACACCGCTGTTTCGGCTTGTCATCGCTCTAGCACTGTACAAACTCTGACGCATTTTATCCAGTCGATGCCATTCTCTTTGATAAATTCATTCAGAAGCTGAAATATGTGCTCTCCAGTAGTTCCTGTTGGTAGCGGCTTAAAGAACAGAAAGTCCTCAAGGGACTCAAGTGACTGAGTCTTTCGGTGGGGGCAGCAGGTCGAGCTGTTCAGCATCTTTTTCTCCACACATAATACATGTCAGCTCTTCTGCCAATGGTAAAAATTTCTTCACAAGTAGTGTGGGGCTTACCTGCTATAGCAATCCGCAAGCTTGCCTTTTTCCCCGTTTCCATTTCAGGAGTCTGTCTCAGAAGTTAAAAGAAGTTTTTATTTCATGTGCATGGGAGCGTTTCCTGTGCTTACAACGTTGTCATTGTTCCAAAATCACGCACATTCTCCTACCTCCCTATTTGCTGGAGATAACTTTTTTAAATACAATTGGTCACTTGCGTTTGTAGCACGCATTCCTATAGAATGGTATAGAATTACATAGTAGCTCGTGTCCACTCAAGTATTAGCGCACGCTGTATCGTAGTACGTAGGCTGCATATTCAACATGTTGAGTTGAATTAAATGTAGTGACTGACTTGGCCAGCCTAAGATTTTCTGCCTTTACATTGGCTGTAACATTTTCTTCAATACAAAGATGAGCAAAAAGAGGACTGGAACAAAGTTTTATGTAAAGCATGAAACCAAGATAAATTTTACAAAGAGATGGAAAGGTTTCAATTGAGAAAGAAAACAAGTGCAGAAACTTCAAAGACCGCCACCTTATATGTAAAACATGGTCTGAACATAAATGACCCCCTCTGGAACTGTTGACTCCATATCTATGGTCACCTAAAACTACTGGGCTAAATTCAAAATGCTTTGTTATATCAGATGTTTGCATTAATGTACCCCAAAATAAAAAGCGTATTATATTTAGCTTTTGTGTTAATTTCGTGATCCCAAATATAAAGTACTTAACTACAGTATGAAGCAAAAACAATAGTCCCAATACTTTGTAAGGGCACTGTTTATATGTTTCTTTGAGAATTATCTGCATTTATTTTGTAATCAAGCTTACTAGCCACTAGATATGAAAATAATCTGTTGATCACGATCAATGCATCTAACTACCTCATGCACAAGATTATACTTATGAATCTGTTAATTATATATGTGTCCTTAGTATATCCTGTGTGCTTTCATATTTATGAATAGATTTGTTTGCAGAGTATTTTAATTCCGTCCTGTCTACAAAACTGAGTTACCTGTTTTGTAAAACCATATGCAATAAAAAACGATTCTGAAACTTTATTTGTTAATACAGTACATGTACAGACGTTTATGTACATTGGTATACTGTATGTTCAGTCTTGATGTTTTATATTTTAATAAATTTAGGCCGTTATGAATAAACATTTTCATAGCTGACTCAGGCAAAATGTGCTAAACAGGGTGAAGTCCATTTCTAAAATTATTTTTAATAATTGCTGTCAAATGTTTATCACAGCCTAGTTTCACATACTACAATTTACTGTTATTTCCTGTGCTTCCACTTTTCACAGGGATTTATCTGCTGTGATAATGTGATGTCACTGACTAATTTCTTTAGTTCTTTATATTTTTATCTTTCCATCTGTGTGATTTTGTGTGTGTTTTTGGTAATTTACTTTGATATCTATGATCACGTGAGGTGAACTGTGAGTTGCTGGCATTTCAAAGAAAGAAAATGTCAGCTAAATTTAAGGCGTAACTGCAAGAAACATGCATACATATGTCAATATGAACTTCAAAGGATGTTTTGCAAATGAACTTTTTTGCAAAATGGAGCTTTTTTATCTTTTTGCAGAAAGTGTCAATATTTATGCTTTTGTTAGAGATGTGGTAAGAAGGCATTACTATTGCTACCGTTGAGTGCTTTCAAATCAGTTTTGCTCTTTGGTAATAGACTGTAATAATGTTTACAATTTTTCTGTGAGGCCATAAAGAAAAGTGGCAGCATAAGCTTATCTGAGAGTGCAAAGTAATTGTAACAGGCAACATCAAAGTGAAACATATGAGGTGCCGTTTAGGCCATTATTCAATGGCCCCCTGGCCCAGCCCTGTGCATGCTGCGTTGACAGAAGAACACTCATCGCAGGGGTCATAGCCGATGACAATAAAGCTATTGCTTCTGGTGTGGCTAAGATGTTATTTATTAATTAAAGCTACGGGTTGGCTTAGTGCTTGTTGCGGTTGAGGTTAATTTCTTTCCTCCATCTTGGAGCACAGCAGAAAATGAGAAAACTTGTTTATACATTTTCTCAGCCAATCACATTGTCCCATTTAGACGGACCGCCTACATTGGCCGTAATTCGTGAAGGGCAGAGTGGTGGCACTGTGGCTAAGGTTCTGCGCCTGTGGCTGAAGAATGCCGGTTCAAATCCTGCAGCCAGCAGAGGAATCCTACTCCACTGGGCCCCTGAGCAAGGCCCTTAAACCCAAGTGCTCCAGGTGCGCTGTATAAATGGCCGACCCTACGCTCTGACCCCAAGCTTCTCTGTCCCTGTCTGTGTGTCTCATGGAGAGCAAGCTAGGGTATGCAAAAAGACAAATTCCCTAATGCAAGAAATTGTATGTGGCTAATAAAGTGATCTTATTCACATCTCACATACACATAAAATGCTCTCACACTCTCCATTTTTCCTCTCCCATACATACACAAACACTTTCACATTCATTAGTTTTACATCTCACATACACATAAAATCCACTCACATTCACTACTTTTTCTCTCAGGTTCACATTGTGAAGGAGTGTTTTATGTGTATGTGTGAGGTAAAAGTAGTGAATGCAAGAGCGTTTTATGTGTATGCGTGAGATAAAACTAGTGAATGTGAGAGTTTTTTGTGTGTATGTGAGAGAGAAGATTTAGAGTGTGAGAGCATTTTATATATTAATGTGAGAGGTAAAATGGAGAGTGTGAGAGCGTATTGTGTGTATGTGAGAGAAATTTTTGTGTGTATGAGAGGTAAAGTTTGAATAATGGCCTAAACAGCACCTAAGAAACATGAGGTTGCTCTTTTTCATATCTTCTTGTTCCTATTTTCAAGGCCTACCTGTCATTAAATAGTTTATATCTTCACATCTCACATACACATAAAATGCTCTCACACTCTCCATTTTTCCTCTCCCATACACACTAGGGGTGTAACCCCGGCATCCTGGCCAAATTTCCCATTGGCCCTTACCAATCATGGCCTCCTAATAATCCCCATCTATGAATTGGCTGCATCACTCTGCTCTCCTCCCCACTGATAGCTGATGTGTGGTGAGCGCTCTGGCGCACTATGGCTGCCCTCGCATCATCCAGGTTGATGCTGCACATTGGTGGTGGTGGAGGGGAGTCCCCATTACCTGTAAAGCGCTTTGAGTGGAGTGTCCAGAAAAGCGCTATATAAGTGTAAGCAATTATTATTATTATTATTATTATTATTATTATCTGTGCTGAAGTTGAGCTTGGAGAGGTAGGTCTAAGAGGGTTGTCAGGAACGTGTCAGTCAGTAGTAAATCCAGTACACATGCTGCCTTTTTTTTTTGATGTAGCATAATGTTATGCCTCACTCAAGACATTCATAACAGTTTTAAATAGATTGAGAACATCAAGCTTTCAATTGTTTTTGTGCAGTAGTCCCAAAATATAGGAGAGGGGAATGTCTGTATCTTCCATCTGTTTTGTTATGTTTTGTGTTCTTTTTGATTCTCTGTGCCGTTTGTCCTCTGATATTTGTCATTATATGTTGTGATTGGTAGGAAGTGTACAAGATTGTGAAGGACAAACTTATTGTTCTAATATTTGTTCAAGATATAAAAGTTGCAGACATCGTAAAAATAATTCTAGGATGAAATCTGACAAACATTTGCTGAGAGTAAGTTCATTAGGAAGTGTTTGAAATTTGTACAGACAGTATGACAAATGTAAAACAAAAGCCAACATAGAAATATGTAATTTCTTGAATAAATAACCTTTCTACAGTGCTACTTTTTGTTTAGTTAGCTGCTAAAAGAAAGTCTGTTTTATTGAGGAGAGTAACATAAAACTGTATTGTATTGTGCTTCATGAACCTACACATTGGATATATTAAAACTTAACATAATGTTAAAGTTTTGAAATTCAAAAACTGAATTTTAATATATATAATTATTTATTCTGAAAAAATATGAAACAATCTAGTTGTAAATATGCAATAGCCTTGTTATCCAATATTAAATAGTTCGTATAGCAGGAATGCCAAACTCAATTTGCTGTGGTGGGTCAGAATCTATTTAAATGCATTTCAAGCAGGCCACACATAGCATAAATTATCTAAATAGTAGGTTTACCAAGATTATTTATATGTAGTGTTTTGGATTCATTTTTTTATTTTACAATAGAATACATTCCTTTAAAATGCAATTAGTATTCATTGCATCTTCACTAGATGTCAGTTTTGCAACTTAACTCATTACACTCTAAGTGTGGGATATTGTTTAGCATTAGTACTCTTTTACAATATCCTTACTGTGATTATTATACCCTGGTTAAATAATAAAATAATAAGCCTTTACTCATTAAGATTAGACTACTATAACACCTTCCTTACTGATGTATTTATTAAGATACTAAATCATTTTGATTATGTCCAGATATCCATGTGCTACTCAGCCTCAGCATGCAACTCCTGTGTTTTGGCTCCTTGTAAGGTTTCGAGTAGATTTTAAGGTTGTTCTGCTTATACATGAGACACAGGATTGTCCAACCGCAGGTTAGCTTAGTTTCTGTCCTTGGATCAAATCTCCCTAGTTCTAGACTGAAGAAATTTTGTTCCTTTAACCTGTCTCTATAAGACAATTGTCTGACACCAGAAATCATTCTTAGTCCTTTTTTAACCTTTTTTGTGCTGTGGTGACTAAGCATGAACACAATATTCTAAATGAGGTCAGGTCATAACATTGGTAAACTTTAGCATGAAGTTCTTTGATTTATATTCCACACTTTTTGCTGAATATCCAAGCATCGTCTTTACTGTTTTATTCTTTTGCCACATTGTCTTGATGAGAACACAGAGAAAGTTTTGTAAATTCAAATAAATTGATTTTTTCTTAATTCATTTAACATTGTTATGGCACAGTGGAGAAATAATGGGCTGAAACCCAGCTGATGAAGCTGTGTTGCAACTATGGAGGATGTCCTCAGGTTTTTGGTGCTGGTCGGAGATTAAAGAAAATAGCTCGCCAAAAGCAGCCGAAGGTACATTGAGGATAGTGCTGGCTGACTGGGAGCACTGCTAGTAGGCGGCTGCAATCTGGTCTGGTAGCCAGTAACGAGAGAGAAGCGCTCAAACATTAGAAGCAGCTTTACAGAGTGGATTTCTACAACGAGAGTTTAGAGAGAGCAGAAGCTCAAAACTTGGTCAGGTGCGCTGACAAACACCGTGGTGCAGTTTTGTGAGCCATTATTCCCTTTGGTAGCTCAATGATGGCGCGGTTCTTTGGTGGTGTCTAAGAAGTAAAGAGAGGACCTTAATTGGATTGATTAATTGGTAGATTGGATGCCAGATTGGTATGCAGGTGGTTTAATTGTAAGGCACCCAACCAAGTTCTCAGACCCATGAGAGGGCTGTGATCACCCGTTAAAATGTCACAGTCTCCCGGGACAACTGAAGACTGGGAGCCTTAATGGGTGCCCACTAGGCACCAGACAAGGCTTTTGGGGACACCAGACTTGAAATCTGTAGATCATCAGCGGCATGTGAAGATCCCAAGCAGGCTCTCGGGTCTGCTTCTCTGGTTCATGCCCCCCTCCTTGAATGTTGTTCTGGATCTGGCAGGAGTCCAGAATTCGCTGTGGCCTAAGTTCTTCAGAGTGGTCCACATGAGGAGTATCCTGAGTTAATGGTTGCCAGTGTGGGTTTTAGTAGGGACACGTGGAACATAGAGGGAACTCTGCACCCCAAGGCCTAAGGCAGTAGGTGCCAGCTTTCCTATGCTCAATTACCTCATATGGGCCAATTTTCATGATGGCAGTTGAAGGCAGAGGTGTTTTATGGAGAGCCAAGCCCACTGTGCTGTCCTCAGGGGTGGTTCCTCCCTCAGGTGTTGGTTGGCTGCCTTGTCCTGGTGTTAGGTGGCTCTACAGAGATTTTTCTAGACCTGTGAAAGAATTGACAAAGATATACCAGGAGAATTCGGCTCACAGGAGGATGCAGAGACATGGCACCTCAGGATATGGCTCCAAATCCTGATTGACCTGTTCCTTCTGGCCATCTGCCTCGGGGTGGTAACCTGAGGAGAGATTGATTCAAATTTCCAGTTTCTGACAGAAGGCCCACCTAAATTTAGAGACAAACCGGGGTCCACAGTCAGAAACCAGTTATAAAATCAGCAGAAATGTGTTGCTAGCGTTGGTTTTGGAATGTCCTTCTGGGGTTGTGTGGGAATCCCTGGCCCAACTACAGAGAGGTCAGGTCACCACATAAGCTTCTATATCCATCCTTTAAGGATGGCCACCAAGGATGGGCTGTTGCAGGAGAATATGTTGTCGATGTACACCACCATGAAGTCTTCTATTAGATCCCAGAAGATGTCATTCATAGTTTTGCACAGGCTGTAGGGCATTACTAAGTATTAAAAATGAAGGCTATCTTCCACTCATCTCCTTCTCTTATTCAGGTGAGGTTATTAGCCCCTCTCAGGTCAATCTTCATGAAGATCATTGCGTGACTGGCCTTCTCCAAGAGAGATGGGATGAAGGGCAGTGGGTACCAGTTCTACCTTGTGATTTTATTTAGCTCTGTGCAGTCAATACAGGAACGTAGGGATCCATCCTTTCTAGAGACAAATAAGAAGCTGGCCCATGCCGGTGACAGTGAAGGGCAGATGAAGACCATCTTGAGATTTTCTACAATATATTCCTTTATCGTCCTGGCACTCAGGTACTGAGTGGGGGAAAAGGTGACCTCGAGGTGGTGTGATGCCAGGCAAGAGGTCTACAGGACAGTCATTGTCCTGGTTTGATGAGAGTATGTGAGCCTGCTGGTACTAGCTAAACATTCCAGTAATTCTGGTAGGCTGGTAGAAACTGGGGAAGACTGGGACCCAAGACCCGCACTGCCACTGCTTGGAAAAGAATGTCATGGTCTCCCGGATCAAATGAGGACTGGGAAATGCCAGAGTTTGGAAGCGATCCCACAGTTTAGAATCATCCATCTGAAATGTATGGTGTATCATACTTCTGATTCCTGTGTAGATAGCTGGTCTTGTCAATGATAAAATTCATTTGCTAAATTTCTCCTATGTTTGTGTCATTTACAGTGCAATCCGTAAGTATTTGGACAGTGAAACAATTTTTGTAGTTTTGGCTCTGTACTCCAGCACGCTGGATTTGAAAGGAAACAATGACTGTGAGGTTAAAGTGCAGAATATCAGCTTTAATTCGGGGGTATTTACATCTATATTGGGTGAACCATATAGGAATCACAGCCCTTTTTATACATAGTCCTCCCATTTTAGGGGACCAAAAGTAATTGGACACATTAACATAATCTTAAATAGCATTTGGCCTTCGGAATCAGAGAATACATTCAAAACTGGTGACTGACTGCCCCTGAAATACAAGCTGAGCTCAATGCAGCTAGAAGTACAGTGGTTTCAACATTAACTGTTCAGAGTAGGTTGCGTGAAGCTGGCCTCAAAGGTCCAGTTTCTGTGTTTTTTGGCCCAGGCAAGTCTCTTCCTCTTATTCTGCACTCATAACAATGGTTTCTTTTTAGCAATTATTCCTGGTTGGCCAGCTTCACGTGATATTGTATCTTGCAGTCTGTTATTTTAAAAGCAGTGTTGGAATGATTTGATAATTTTTTGGGAAGATTTAGCCTCATAAGATGTTGATCCATTTGGTCTTCACTTATATGGGCCTGTTGTCTAGTTAAATATCCCAAAGTCTGTTGCCTGATTATCTTTCCTAATGCTTCAGCTGTCCAAAAACATGTCAACAAATATTCTTTCTCAGCAGCCTGAATGGCTCTCCAAGATTAAGGACAATACAAATAACCAGCCTGCACTTTAATAACTAGACCCAATACCCAGCAATATTTTACATGCCTTTGGATTGCTAAAATAAGAAATTACACACATAAATGTCAACAATAAATAAGATGAGTTTTGATATCAAGAGCTGCCTGAATTAAATTCCCATTGGCTGAACAGTTATAGCAGAACTATGTCTTTGTCTCGCACAGTTCTTAAAATGTCTTGACTCTTCCAGTGATGGAGGAATTCATGGTCATCAGAGTATAACAGTTTTATGGTACAGGGGGCCAGCTGCTAAAGTAATTAAAGTTCTGCTGAGATAGTTATTCTTTGAACAACCAGGTTTGTTATGTTATGTAGTCCCATTGCAAATACTATCGTTATGGAAAAAGGCCCCCTATGTATTTCATTGGCACACTACTGTATTTTCCATTATGCATACAGTATATTAAACATTGATGTTACATTACTAGTCTAATGTGATTAGTACATTAGAAATCTTTTCTGTTGATGAAGGTCTACAAAGGATTTACTACATTTTATATTTCTATTATTTACTTTTTGATAGCTCTTGCTGATTATTTTAATTGTTGTCTGGGTTCATTTTTTAAATTTAATTGTCAAATTTCATGTCATCCATACTTTACAATTAACACTTTCCAATATTTTTTTTCCCTTTCCTTACAGCCAGTACTGCTAAAATGGGATTAGTTGAGACCAAATTAGCCATCATCCCTGGAGCAGGTAAGATACTCTGTGAAACTAGATGGGGATGGATAGAACATTTTGATGATGCCATTGAAAGAAAAGACAGAATTGTCCCACACTTGCCATTCAGAATGCTTTAATCAGTTGTTTTTGTGTAGGGTGTTTTTCTGTCTGTCTAAGGAATAATGTCAGGGGTTATGATGGCTTTTTGAGATCATGTAGCCACTACATATTATGGTTATGAATTTTAGTTATCTTTTACTGTATACTCAGTGCCAGGGAAATGGAACCATCTTAAAACTTATATTTCCACCATATATCAAGTCAAAGTTAGCAACTGTTTTCCTTTACCTATCTAAGATCAACCATGAGCCTAAAAATATCCATGAATATATGCAAAATGTTATTTTCCAAAAATTTGAATTATTGTAAGTATTGGATTCTATGTTTAAAGAGGGAAATTCTAAATTTGTGAATAAGAAGCATGTGCTAATGTCTCCTTTCATCATGCAGTTGAACTTGGCAGTAGATTATTTCACCTAATGAAAAACAGTGACCAAGTGATTAAACCTTGGTATGCCCCTTACTCAATGCTAGCCAGGGCACTCTTAGACTTTTTGGGTGCTGTGTCGTGTGACTTGATGTCAGTCTTTAACATTGCCTATTTAAATAAATGCTGTAAAATAGCATCTTCCACTTTTTATATCGGCAAATATTCTAGGTATTTCAAAGGAATTTTATGTTCTCTTGGTAGAAAATGCATGTCAAAGTTATTATATCTGGCAGAGGTGGCCATCTCTAGTTCTGGAGAGTGCAGCAGGTCTTATAGGTCATAATTTCTCATAATCATGATTTAATAATGACCTGGGGCAAATGTGAGCTTTGAGCAATTTACTAAGTTATTTGGTTAGGAATGGCCAAATGTGGCCCTTATGAACTAGAGGATGTTGGTATTTTTATTTCATATTATTGCTAAACTATCATGAAACTAAACATATCACCAGCCTAAGTACTCAAAAATGGATGATTTAGGGGTCCCCCAAAACACCTTCTGGATTGTAGCTTTCCAGTACCTGAGTTGTACATCCCTGATATATAGGAACTCTATAACTATGGATACACAGATACAGTGCTATTGAAAAAAAATCTAATATTTAGGGGCGTGGATGAAATAGTTTTATTTGTGTTTGTACTATAGTGTTGCAGTTTACAGGCAGTGACTTTAGAGTTACCTTGAGGTATTTTTCCAAGAAAAAGCATCTTCCTGTCAAAGTATTAAAGAATTGGCATGCAAAGTATTAACATTAATGTTTTAGTCCTTTGAAATCACAGTGATAGTGCAGTGCTATCGATTCATTGTTTGGAGAGCTCTGCTAGTAATGTTTACATTTTTATACTGCATGTGAACAAGCTGAAACATTTTGAATCTGAAGCTACATACTGGCATCTGATTATATTTTCTGTCATAACACCTTTCAAGGTCTTGGTTTGCATGGAAGTGACACATTCAGAGGTCTGTGCAATACCACTTTGTTTTGGCTTGTAATCCTGATTAATGTTGACATTTAATGGGAATAATAATTTGCTTGATCAGACCATTTAAATTATTTTCAGTAATGAAAAGTTTCAAGTTAACCACACTTTTGTAATTAACTTGAAATGCTTTGCTCTTCAGGTATTGAGAAGAGCTAAGTCAAATGAATTTTATGTGTCTGTATGCTAGATTTCATGTCCTCGTTTTTCTTCTCTGCTCTGAGAGTCCTTGCTTCTTACATACCTAAAATACTGTTGTTTATCTTCTTTTCTCTTGTCTTCAGTATATAATTCAGAAAAAGGTCAGTCATAGGTGTGCACTGTGTGGTGCTAACCAGTATAGGAGCTTTCACAGAACCACTTGGGAAAATGCAAAATCAGGAAGGGGTCACTAGATAGTCACTTCTGGTGTTGTGTAAATAAACGGACTTGTCCAAAAGCAGCACTATTGGAAAATGACACCAAAGCTCACTCTACCTGGGTAGCATGTACATGAAGACAGAAATGAGCTCAGGGTATGTCAGTTCGGACAAGGTCTGGTCTGTTGCTTAAAATGTATCCTTTTTGAACATTTGTTGAATATCCTGCCATAACATGGCTGCAGCCTTAATGATAGCCTGTTTTGCTTGTGTAATACATTGACATGTTGTTGCTCTGAATTAAACTAAGGCACACCCTGTTTAACGGCTGCTCTGAACGGTGTTAAACAGGCGTGTCTATTGATCTGAGTTGCATGGTAGGTTGTAACATGATTGTCTTATAATGGTCTTGTAAATGACCTAATCTTATAATATTTCTAGAATTCAGAAACAACCTGAAAATTAGTCAAATATGAGTACGTAACAATGCGTTATATAAGATGTTCCGTATTTGTTGGATTTATACCATACTGATGGAAAAAAGAAACTCAATATTTCCTGGAATGAGAATACTATAGTTATAGTTTATGTACTTTCACAAAAAGTTGTCAATTTGTTTTAAGCCCTCTGACCAGAAATACAGCTTGTGCAGTGAGGCATTGCATCTTGCCCATCATACGAAAGCTCTTTAGGTGCACTTTTATCCAATGAGGCCCAGGTAGAACAATGCCTGATCAGGTCACCAGGCCTTAATTCAAAGCTTCACTTTGACTGCACTCACTTTGACTGCAGAAGAGGTTTCAGCAGACCAGCAGGACGAATTACCGCCCAAGATCCAGTCGCCCTCACTTGACCACACCAGAGTAGAACCGACGCATCAAACTGGTCCATCTGAGAGATCGTTTCAGATCCACCTCCCCTACAGCTGCTAAAACTGTCAGCAAAAACAATGCCCGCATCAGTGACAGGACAGTGAGGCTACATGTTGCTGGCCTTAGAGCAAGGCGACCTGTCAGAGGCCCTCTGCTCACACCTCCTAGACGTCACACCCGACTGACTTGGGCCAGACAGAGGTTGCGATGGACTCGTCAGCAGTGGCATCGGGTCCTCTTCACAGATGAGTCACTCTTCAGCCTGTTCCACACAGAGGGGAGGGCCAGAGTGTGGAGAAGGAGGTGTTGTGTTTCTTTTTTCCTTCAGTATATATAGTGCACACACACATTTATATTATTTATTGAGCATCATGAGAAACATGTTGTAGTGTGCTCTCTGAAGGCACCAGTTCTGTAGGGTTTGGGCATTTACTGGGACAATTATTAATTGTAGCAGTAAATCACAAAATTTATTCTTTTGATGGCTTTAGAATCCAACCATGCGATATAGCTCAAACAACGCACACACACAGGTACTAATACACGAGGATACATTTATTAATACATAGAATATGCTTATAAACCAAACGGATCTTATCGAGAGGGTTATCAGAATACAAAAGGTAAATATTCAGTCAGCTACGAAGTGTTACATATATCAAAGAGGACATACGTTCAGTATATCATTCATTTAGACCATTTCGTAAATGAACTTGGTTATAACTTCTACATTAGATACTCAAAACAAGTACATAACTCTTTAAAGTTAAATTAAATTGATATCAACTGGTTGGGATAACAGTTGAATTCTCGAGCTGTAATGCATTGAAGTAATGCATTGAAGTTGAATACTCATCCAATCTTTGGGGATTCAGATCTCCTGCAGGCACAAAAAAACAGTTGCAGGCTGTTGCTGTCCAATCCGCGCTCTCTGGCTCGGTGCCAGGCTGTGCTGTGCGGCTTGCGACGGTGCGCTGCTGATGCTCACTGACCGGCTAGTTAGTGTTGGCTTTAACTAGCAAAGTTTGCGCACAGGAGAAAAGATGACTGTGGGTCCCAGCAGGTCAGGAAGAGGACCGGTTCGTTCCTGATGAAGCGCTAGTTCTGAATAGTGATTCAGCTGTCCACACTTCTGACCTTTCACGAGGCCTGCTGCTGGTGCTAACCTCGGGTGGGTCCTCTGGTTACTCTCTGGCAACGTCCGCTCTAGACTCTTAGAACAAAGGAAAGTTCTGGCACTCGGACACACTGGCCGTTCTGTGGTTGTCCGGGCTGAGTTTCAGGATGGTCAGGAGGTGGGCTGCGAGAATGTCCTGCCCTTGGGAGCCTTCTGCTCCTGGGCCGTCCTGCCCTGGAATTCTCCTTTGAATTCCCTTTAGAAAAGTCTCAGAAGTCTCCCTGAATCCCTCAGGCTCTCTGTGTTGCCTGTTTTTACCTGGAGGAACTTCAGCTCATTGATTGGCTGAAAGTTCCATGGGCATCAGAGTCCCGTGTGGGTTACTTGCCCCTACCAGTCCCTGATTGGTTGATCAATGTGAGATATGAGTCACTTACTCCTGACACTTAGGAATGCAGTCCAGATGTCCATCTGGCACTCCCTAGACAGATAGGTGCCAATGGATGACCATTGATCATGATAGCCAGGCTTAGCTAAGTGCATCCCCCTTTGGGAGCTGTCCCTTATCAAAGGAAACCTTAAATCAGCCTGCATGAATAGTTTCTCTGTGGCTGCACCACAGAGATGAACAGAGATGGGGCCTCATTTGGGAAAGCTCAGAACACTTAATTCTTTCTTATTAATAAGCCTCGCCGATACAATGTCAATTCACAAATATATTATTAGACAATCTATTTTGTAGCAGGTGGACTGACATTTTATCTACCAGACATGGCATAGGTGAATAATTGTGCTGATAACCACTTGACATCAGCAAGTTTGATCTGTAGGGGGGTGTACTGTGAAAGTTACAGTCTGGTAGTGTGTGGCTGCATTCAGAAGATGTAAAAGATATGTAATGGGATTTTGTCTCATTCCTCCTATTGAACCTGGATATGCATGTGTCCATTCATTGGTCTCCGAGCCCCTAGGTGTCACACATTTTTGAAGCTCTTCCAACAAAAATTCAATGGAACTCCGGCGAGTGGGATCTCCAGAGCATAAGGATCACCATTGTTACATGAGCAGCCTGAGAGCACTGCAGCATCATGTTGTTAGGTTGCCATCAATCACTACAAGTGGACTTCTGTAGTGACTGGACACATCTGGCTAGTC